AGCGGTCTGTGGTGGCGACAGGCCCCTGCTGACCTGGCTCAAGGCGCTCCCCTCCCCGGGGGCGCTCGCCCTGCCTGCGGGTAAGGAGCGCAGAGCTGCCCTAGTGCTGTGAAAGGGTGAGACTGCGGAGCTGCTTCCACCCAGGCAGGAGGGACTTGGTTCTCCAGCCTGAAGGACCTCACAGGAAAATCTGGCCTGATTTTTAAGCCGGGAGGGGCAGTCGTACCCAGCCTGGTGCTGTGCAGTAAGCTGCACTTGCTTTTCCGAGTTTGAAGCTGGCTGGGGCAGATTTTTTGTGCAGCTCTGCAGTGCGACTTGAGTGATTCAGTGCTCCTCTAACTTTTAAGAATTTTTAACTGTTTAGGCTTACGCTTAAAGCAGTCCCTGGCTTAGCAAGTAGCCCAGATTGTGTTTGTGTTGGACAGAGTATCGGCCTCCATGTAAGATGTATTTTGTGTCTGTGCTGCGGAGCCAAAGCCCTGAGGTTGCTATAGGAACTGGTTGAGTGGAGTCCCAGATGCACAGGGCTGATGCCTGTGTGCTGGCTTCTCTGAAAAGCTCCGGGTGAATCACGCCTGAGCCCTTAACTGTGTGTGAGTATGGTGGCTTCTTTAGGGAAGCCAGGCTTCAGCGAGAAGCATTGCTTTAACTTGGTCATGTCTATGTAGTCCTTCTGAAGGTGTTCAATTCTTACCCTCCCTGGTTATGGAAGAGAATGCTTGAGCTGTCTGGTGTTTTGGAGTTGTTCTAATTCATGCTTAAAACTTGTTATCCAAATTTAAGCCTCATGGATGCTGTAAATTAAATAGGAGCCATCTCCAGTGAGCGAAAGGACTTTTGTATGTCAAACATCAGTGACCTGTGTAAGTACAACCCTGCTTGAAAGAAAATGCATTCTGTAAGTCTCTTGTAGATTTGGGCTGGCAGGATGTGCTTATTTTGCAGCATGTTGCATGGGACAACCTGCAGCTTGAAAGTACTTGTTTTGGCTATGTAGAGAAGTCAGCTGTTCAAGAAAGTCAAAGCCAAGTGTTTTAACAACTATCATGCTTGTCTTGTGACTTCCATGTAGAAGTGGAAGAAAGGCTTGAAGGATCTGGCATAGAGCTGGCTGAACAAAATACTGAATTGCAGCAGCTGGTGCTGCTGAGCATGCTTGATCACTGTAGTACATGGATGTTGGGGTCACTCATTGCCCATGCGCTTGGATTTCAGAGGCATGTTTGTAAAGCTCATTACTTTCCTGCCTGAAAAGGAGGTGCTGTACCTCTAGTTCTAACTTGACAACTAAGTTTAAGCTTGTTGGTTTTGTTGGCCGATTGGACATTGTCTTTTAAAAATGAATTTTGGACTGGTGAGGAAGACAGAAAAGTGAGGAGGGGAGAGGTCTTGGACTTTCTCATGTGACCTTCAGCTGAAACTAAAAACAGGGAAGTGGTGGCACTGAACTAGTTACTGACCATTTGCTTGTGCCTGCTGGGGCTGGTTCCTGTGGCTTCACTCTGACCTTCTTTGAGAAGGCTGAGTAGCAGGTTAGGACTTTAAAGCTGAAGAAAACACAGTTCTTAAGCTGCCTGCTTTTAACCTCTTTTGTAGAGCACAAAGTAAGCGTGGTGCTTTCTTGGACCTAGCTACTGGTGTTCAAGCTTATGGCTCACTATTAGTTGAACTCATTATAATAAGATGCAACTTCAAAGAGTAGATTTCACTTGAGTAACATTTTGCCTGTAATTCTGGAGTAAAGTGAAGTACATGACTTGATTGAGGTATCTCTGTAGACATGCTTGCTCAGTTTAACTTCCAAAGTTATTTTGGGAGGAGAGGCAGAAACAGCGGTGTGGGGATTAAATATAATCTTGTTTAGCCTCTTCACTGTGTGATTTTATGAGAGGGAGTGGCCTGAAGTTTTATATTCACATAGCTTAGTGTGTGGCATTAGCAGCTGAAAGGTGAAAGTCTTCTGTGGCTGCTTGATTACTGACTGTTGCTTCTGAAACCTGTGAAGACTAAATTATTTTTCTGCCACAGAATCTTCAGCAACACTATTCTGGTCTGAAAATGTCTGCTCTTGAAGCACTCTTTAAATACATCGATGAACACGAGAATGTCTATATCCAGGTAAGTTTTCTTTTGGAGTTTTGTCCTGCAGCACAGATAGCTGGGTTATTGAAAGCTGATGGGTGGTCAGCTTCAAGCTTGTTGTTACACCTATAAAATACAGCAATAGTGCCAAGTAATTGGGGGAGCAGGCAGCAGGTGTGACTGGTTTGAGCCAAGCCAGAAAACTGTTTCCTAAGTTTAGGGATAGTTCTGTTCAAAGACCTAAATCTCCATGGTAGATTTATTAGAAAATGGTCTATTACTGTGTAGTGCAAGCAGTGACTTATTTAGAAGCAGAAGTTTGACACTAGCTCCTGAATGCCAAACTAGGTTTATACTGTCTCTCCCCTTTTGCAATGGGAGAGGAAAGATATAAACAAGGCTGGAATAAAGCTGTCTGGTATGAAATTGCTCATGTTGGGGGACAGAGAAAGGTTACCTTCTGTACTTTGCTGTTTAACCTGCTATTCAGTTGCACTTTGTATTGCAGTCCCTTTTGCCTGTGAAGGAATCAGCAGTATAGCACTGTAAACTCCCAGGCAACATCTATGCCAAGTGTTCAACTTGACTTCTAACAGTTGCTGTCACCAATCTCACACTGGGGGGAAAAAGCTAAGGCAGCCTTTCTGAGAAGCCTGAAGAAACCACATTAGCTGGTTCTGGATTCTCAAAGAAAGGCACAATATGCACAAGCTGTCATACTCTTAAGCCTACCTTCTGTATCTGTAGGCTTTGAGCTACACTGGAGGGGCAGCTGTAGGAAAGTGAGATTTTAGAGAGCTTTTGAGTGTAGTATCCATGGTTAGAGTACTCCTTTGAGCAGAGGACAGAGCTCATCTGCCTCAAGTTTAAGCTTGGCTAAAACAGTATTAGTTGAATTGCACGGTGTTGTATTTGTATAGTGCCTACCATGCCATAATTCATGTGTAGTGAAACCTTTAACTTTTCGTCCTTCTGTAGCGGCTGGCTGAATGGGTGGCAATCCAGAGTGTGTCAGCATGGCCGGAGAAGAGGGCTGAAATCAGGCACATGATGGAGGTTGCTGCAAAGGATATTGAGCGGCTGGGAGGCACAACCCAACTTATGGATATTGGGAGACAAAAGGTATAGAATTATCCAGGTAAGTTTTCTTTTGGAGTTTTGTCCTGCAGCACAGATAGCTGGGTTATTGAAAGCTGATGGGTGGTCAGCTTCAAGCTTGTTGTTACACCTATAAAATACAGCAATAGTGCCAAGTAATTGGGGGAGCAGGCAGCAGGTGTGACTGGTTTGAGCCAAGCCAGAAAACTGTTTCCTAAGTTTAGGGATAGTTCTGTTCAAAGACCTAAATCTCCATGGTAGATTTATTAGAAAATGGTCTATTACTGTGTAGTGCAAGCAGTGACTTATTTAGAAGCAGAAGTTTGACACTAGCTCCTGAATGCCAAACTAGGTTTATACTGTCTCTCCCCTTTTGCAATGGGAGAGGAAAGATATAAACAAGGCTGGAATAAAGCTGTCTGGTATGAAATTGCTCATGTTGGGGGACAGAGAAAGGTTACCTTCTGTACTTTGCTGTTTAACCTGCTATTCAGTTGCACTTTGTATTGCAGTCCCTTTTGCCTGTGAAGGAATCAGCAGTATAGCACTGTAAACTCCCAGGCAACATCTATGCCAAGTGTTCAACTTGACTTCTAACAGTTGCTGTCACCAATCTCACACTGGGGGGAAAAAGCTAAGGCAGCCTTTCTGAGAAGCCTGAAGAAACCACATTAGCTGGTTCTGGATTCTCAAAGAAAGGCACAATATGCACAAGCTGTCATACTCTTAAGCCTACCTTCTGTATCTGTAGGCTTTGAGCTACACTGGAGGGGCAGCTGTAGGAAAGTGAGATTTTAGAGAGCTTTTGAGTGTAGTATCCATGGTTAGAGTACTCCTTTGAGCAGAGGACAGAGCTCATCTGCCTCAAGTTTAAGCTTGGCTAAAACAGTATTAGTTGAATTGCACGGTGTTGTATTTGTATAGTGCCTACCATGCCATAATTCATGTGTAGTGAAACCTTTAACTTTTCGTCCTTCTGTAGCGGCTGGCTGAATGGGTGGCAATCCAGAGTGTGTCAGCATGGCCGGAGAAGAGGGCTGAAATCAGGCACATGATGGAGGTTGCTGCAAAGGATATTGAGCGGCTGGGAGGCACAACCCAACTTATGGATATTGGGAGACAAAAGGTATGTGAGGATCTCCATGTCAGCTTAGTAGAAAAATTCTCCTTGGAACACAGGGTGTTTTGCACCAGGCTGGCTTCTTATGATCCCAGTAAGAAAGGCACTTAGACTCCATAAAATACCGCTTTAAATGCTGTTTATTAGAGCTACCACTATAAAGAGGATAGTGTAAATAATCTTATGTCCCTTCAGGAGCTGGCAACCCCAAGCTGTGCAGTGTCTAGTGGGCATCCAGTCAGCATGCAGCATGCTGTGCAGATCCCATTCTTGGAAATGTTATCCCATTTTATTTATTCAAGCTGTTTGACTCCACTGACAAACAAAAGGGATATTCACATGAGAACTTCTTGCTGCACTTCCAAAAACAAGGATGTGCAGGTGGTGTTATCACTGATACCAAGTGGGAACTGCCTGCAAGGTACAGTCATCTGGCTGAGTTTATCCTGCAGCCCAAGGATATTCACAGCACGATACAGGCAGGAGGGCGAAGCTGTGTGTGTAGCATCGCACAGCACAGGCTTGGGTGTACTCAGGATAACTATGTGGATCGCTAATTCCTTGATGTCTGATGGTCTTCTGGTCAGGATCACCACACAAGGGTCTTGTGGGTAGTGGCCTAGAAAGGCAGTTGTTGGGGTGTGGGATAATGTCTTTCCTGCCACACAGTCTGAGCCTCCTGTTAAAACCTTTGCTGTTTATAGTAAGCCTTGGGATCCAGATCAGTTAAGCATGTTGTATTACATTTTGAACTGTGTATTAAGTGTATTTTAAATACTTTTCTAACTGAACATGAACAGAGCACCTGTAAACAAAAATGTTAGATGTTTTTAACAGCAGACTGGTGTTGGACCTTAAACCCACAGGCTGTAAAGATACTGACTGAAGCTTCAATAAGTCTTCCAAAAGACTTTTAGGCTCTTCCAGAAGTGTTAATTTGCCACAAGATTGCACTGCTCCCTTAACCAGGTACAGAAGGATCTTTAGCAGGATGAGTCCCCTCCTTATTTTTAGATGTCTGGACTGCTTTTCTTCACCTGAGAAATGTATGTGCTTATGAGAAAGGTAATGGTAATCTCATCCTAGGGAGCAATCCGCTTGATACACTCCTCCTTTGAAGGGCTTAGTTGCTACGTGTCACAGAATAAGACCCATACCAAAACTGTTACACTAGCATTTGGATAGTGGCATTCAAAATCCTATTGTACTGGAGTGTTTGCTAGTTTTAGAAGATCATTATTGTAATTGGTGCTAATGACTGCTGTGTGAAATCTAAGTGTATCAGGACCCTCTGAGCAGTTCTTGCTTTTGGCGACTGCAATACACTTGTTTGTAGCACTACAGGCCCCAGCAGGGAAGCAGCTGACTTCTTAAGAGGAAATCTGTAGGATAATTCCAGCTTTGCTAGTACCTACAGCCTAAAATCCCATCAAAAGTGTTTCAGTTAATTTAGAGGCAAACTTGTTTCTTTCATCAGTGTAACTTTTTGGGAGCAGGAACTGATGTTACAGAGTTTGTTACAAGTAATATTTCTATTTAGAAAACTTACAGCTGGATTAATGTTAATCTGAGTGTTTACTTTTGTATTAAGTATAGACAAAACTAGCCAGTGTATTATGTACATTGCTACTATATCAATGAAGGACACTGTAAAGCAGCTGGTGAACTTGTCTGATCTAAATTTACTGCTGCACAGCAGTTTGTACTGTGCACTGATTACTGTAAGTATAAATTCTTGCAATAATGCTTTAATCACTTAGAGCTGCAGCTGGCCAAGGACCATGGAACCTGTTGATAAAAAAAATCAGAGCTTGGAGCCCATATGAGCAAAAAGTCAAAGCTTATCTTGATCTGCTCAACAGTGTCTAGGAGTATGTGTTAGCTCACCAGAAGGGAAATATATGCTGACTGAGAATAGCATGTGATAATCGCTTATGGAGTATTCCAAAGAGCTAAGCCCAGTTCAACTCTTGAACTAAGTTCATCAGCACTACCTTGCCCTTTGCTTAACAGTGTAGATTGGCATAGAGAAAGGTTGTAGTTGTTACGCTGACCTCATTTGGGTGTAGGCATGTGTTATACTTGGTGATACCACCATCAGGAAACTAGGCACGTGTTACACTTGGTGATACCGCTGTTAGGAAACTTGGCTGGAGAGCTATATTGTGAACAGGATGAAAGTGCAGTGACAAGCAGTGCAGAATGCAATATCGAATGGAGTTTATCACTTATGCTTAGGTAAGCATTAGATATGACACTTTGGCATGCAGACAGCTTGCTCTGCTAAAATCTGATGTAGTATTGTTAGTTTAAAGCTAACAGTTCTGAGTGGCCTGGAACATTTTGACTATTAGTGGGACTTGTCAGGAAACTTATTGGCATGGTGCTGTCATGCCTTCTGTCATGCACACTGCTTCTGGCTATCAGTTGAAGTAGCTTAGTGTTGTTTAGCTGTCTATGCCCCTAATCTCATAACCTCCATAATGTTGAAGTAATTCACTCTGACATTCCACATTTGCCTAAAATTTCTTGCCTTCTATTTCTAGCTGCCTGATGGATCAGAGATCCCTCTACCGCCAATTGTTTTGGGAACACTTGGCTCAGATCCACACAAAAAGACGGTGTGTGTGTATGGTCACCTGGACGTTCAGCCAGCAGCACTAGAGGACGGCTGGGATAGCGAGCCCTTCACACTGGTAGAAAGAGAAGGTGAGAGCGCTGGACTTCACAAACTGATGAGCGCTTCTGTAGCAAGTGTGGTATTTCTCAACTGTTCTAAAGTTGTACCCTTGATTGAAGGGGAGGAGGAGACTAAGAACAGACATGGGTGTTTGTTCAATACTACTGAGGTAAAAGATGCAGGAGGGGAAATGGTAAACAAGTAGAGCTGCAAAATCTCAGCTTCTGTCAGGGCTTGTTTCCTTTTCTGATAGTTTAGCCTGTACTTGCATGTTATCTTCCTTGTGGCTACAGCAAAGTCCTAACTACTGCCTTCCATGGTAACAACTTGCCAGAAAACTTTCCAGAACTAGTTTCTTGTGCTGTTCACAACTTGCTACCTATAAGGTCATGTCAAACTGCAGGGATTTTGAACCACTGCAGGGGACAAACGCTCAACACAACTCTTTATGCCTGGGGACAAGAGTGGTACAGCAGCCTCCCTGGATCGCCTCGTGTTTGTGTAGTATGCTACAAAGAGTACTGCAGAAGCTGTGTTTTACAGAGCTAGTGCCCAGACAAGTGTCATTCTCCTGTAAGTGGGGATGAGGAAATCATGCAGTAACTCCCGTTGAAACAACACATTGCCAGTAGCCAAGAGGAAACTAAATCTTTCTTTTCTATTTAAAGCTGGTGCTAGCAACAGCTTCTTCCTCATTTCACTTGCTCAGTGCAAGTGTCAAAGGTCATATGAATAGAAGGAGATTAACCATTCTTGTCGCATAGGTGTTAATCATTGCCAAGAAAAGAAGTATCTGTGGTAATTATTATTTCTACCTGTCCACTTGGTCATAGGCAGCAGAGTCTAAGTTACTAAGTGGGATTACTTCATCTGATAGCAAGAACTAGACTTGCCCCAGGCTGTGTGGGGCTCATCTCCATGCAACCTGGCAGTGTAGAAGGTGTATTTACCCATGGCTCCTTACCTTGCAAGCTGCCTGGCCTGTTCTGTCACTGTGGCTATATCTAGTGCTTAGCAGTTGTAGCCACAGCTGAGTTGCAGCACTGTCTGCCTCTACTGTGATCCCATGTGCTACATTTCCTGGGACTTACCTCAAGCCTGTAAAACTTGGCTTTGACTAGAGCCCTTTCTGGAGAGATTCACACTTATTTGGACAATCCAGAGAAGTGATTGGTCACTAGCTACTGAAGTTTTACTCTTCAAACAAAGAACTGAAGGTAATACTGGATAGGTTTCTGTTAAGGGTATAGAAACAAGCTACCTCCTTCTACTGCTGTGTTTGTAGAAAATTATATTATTGTGAAGGATATAGGAACAACTTAGCCCAAGGAGGAGTTACAGCTTTTCCAGGTTTATGTTCAACTCCTTTCCTATCTGCTCCCTGGATAGAGGTAGGCTAGCTCTTTAAGTGGGAGAACTATTGCAGTCCTGTACCTATCCCACTTGCATGGGTGTATGAAGTAGGGTGTGAAACTGTTGCTTCAAAAGAATCAGAAATGAAAGTTAATACAAGCAGGGCTAAAAAGCTTATCCAGAAGGATGTTTTCTCCTGCAGGCAAGAGACGATTGAAGCTTCATCCTAATTTTTCTCCACACTGGTTTATTTGCATCTCGTTTCTACAGGAAAGCTGTATGGGCGAGGATCAACAGATGACAAAGGTCCAGTGCTTGCCTGGCTGAATGCCTTGGAGGCTTATCAACAAACTAACCAGGTATGGACCCAAAATATATCCTGCTTTTTTTTGCATACAGCTGAGTCTAGCAATAAATGTTATCCAAGCCACAAACCCTTGTGAGGCAAGCCTGCTTATTCAGCTGATTGGAGGAATGATGCAACAGTTCTGTAAATTCCCTGATGTTCCAGTAGTGTTGAGTTGACTTGCTGACAAGTTATTCTTGTAGATGCTTGAATTGCACTTTAAACATTTTTGCTTTAATGAAATGTGTAGAAAGGAAAATGCATCTGGACCAGGAGGAATAATCAAATTGATCACCACTTTCATATAAGGATGTCAGATTAGCTTGGCCTTTAGCAAAGCTTTATGTCTCTCTGCCACTGAGCTCTAAAGATATTAACTTAGTAACACTAAACTGGGAGCTTTACTATTTCTGTTCAAGAAAATTGCTGTCAGAAGTAGCTTGGGTTGTCTGCTTCATCTTGCAGGACAAGTTGCTATTACTTGTGAGAGGAATTATTGATAATCAAGTGCTGTCTAGGCATGGAATATGGTAGACTGGATAGACAGGGTAGCTCTGACTCTCCTACTGTAGCATGCAATTTACATGGTTAATATTAGTTTTCCTAGCCCTGTGACTTACCTTTGGCAACAGATCTCTGCTGCGTTCCCACAGTTAAGAGGATTTGGGAAAAGTTACTGAAGAGGTTAGTTAAAACTCTCTGGAAGTGTTGGAATTCCATCAAACGAAGGGTGGTGTAAGTGCCCTCAACATAAGCGCAGTCCAAACTTTGTAATACTTAGTGTATGATTAACAAATTCCACTGTCATGGAACTGATTTACCCATGTCCATTTTTCTGCTTTGTACATGACAGATGAAAATTACTGATTGCTGAAGGAGTCCAATGTTTTCACATACTTAATCTGTTCTTGTTGTTCATTTTCAAAGGAGTTTCCAGTAAATGTTAAGTTCTGCCTAGAGGGTATGGAAGAATCAGGATCCGAAGGCCTTGATGAACTCATTTTTGCTCAGCGGGACACTTTCTTCAAAGATGTGGATTACGTTTGCATTTCTGACAACTACTGGTTAGGCAAGAAGAAGCCTTGTATCACCTATGGTTTGAGGGGTATCTGCTACTATTTCATAGAGGTAAGTGCTGAAATACACAGCAAACCCAGTATTTTTAAGCTGAATTTCCTACTGGAGAAGAGTGGTAGCTCAAACTCTTTCATGCCAGTAGCTTTTCTTCAGAAAAGGTGAAACTGACTACTTAAGTAGAGCTGTTTCTACAATATCTTCCTTTTACTGTCCTGTGTGATACTTGGGTGGAAGGGATAGCTTTCAAATGTATGAAGCAAGATAGGCCAGCACCTTCACTGCAGGATTATCTCATGGCATAGATATCTTCATCCAGATATTTTCTTGAGTGCAAGAAGAGATGTCACCACTGAAGTCTTCAAGGTTGGGACAGTCAGTGCTAAGGGCTTGTACTCTACAGAGCAATAAAAAACATCTGCTTTAATGTACTACAGCTGAGTGATCTTGTTTAAAAAACAAATGCATTCTCAAAATACTCACAGCAAAAAGCTAGGGTAAAAGTCTGTTCTGTGCATTTGTCAGTGTCTTCATGCTAAAATTAACCTGAATCTTAATTTTGCTTCAAACCAGGTGGAATGTAGTGACAAAGACCTTCACTCTGGAGTTTATGGTGGTTCAGTACATGAGGCCATGACAGATCTCATTACTCTAATGGGTAAGAAAAAGCAGGTTTCACTGAATGCATCTAAAGTGGGAGTAAGAGCTATTAAAGCATGAGTTTGCAGAGAGGGGACATTCCTAAGAGCTGCTTACACTGGCAAAGCAATGACCAATGAAAAGGTGCTTGCCGGGTATGCATAAAACAGGCTGATGCCTTAGATACAGAAATATGAGTAAGGTCTTGCCAAGAAGTTGTCTTTAGTTTCCTGTAAAATCCTGCTGCAAACTTGTGTGTTAATTAAATCGGCTCCTCTTCTACAGATGCCATATCGAACTACTTGGGAATCCTCCCTTCAAATGGCCAGCCAAATATGTAGTGGTAGAATCAAATGTAGTTGCAAGGAAGTAAACATATTGGGTAGCTGCAAATTCCGTAAGTGCCTTCTGTGCTTAGTGAAACAGGCTCTGGGAGGTAGAGATCAGAGTTCTATTACATTAACGGAGTTTTCAGAAGGCAGAAACTTCCCTTTCCCATGGTAAGCATTCCTAGCAATGACATCTTGTTTCTTCTGGTTGGATCCTAATATTGAGTGCTTGTTTATAGGTTCTCTCATAGATAAGAAGGGGAAAATTCTCATCCCGGGTATTAATGAAGCAGTTGCACCTGTTACTGATGAGGAGCTGGCACTATATGAGAAGATTGATTTTGACCTGGAAGAATATGCAAAAGATGTAGGAGCAGCAAAACTATTGCATGATGCAAAGGTATACTGTACTCCCTCTATACCCTAGTTATCTGTGTGTGTTCAGGCTATTTGTATTAGACAGAAACAAGCTTCTGTGGGTACTTTTGTAGTTACCAAGTAATTTAGTAGGCCCAGAATTCATTTGATGTCTTTAAAATGGCAACATTGCTTTGAAGATGACTTCACCTACTGTGTAGTTGACTGCATACTTAACACCAGCAGTTCCTCTACAAAATGTTAGGTGCTTGGAAAGTTAGTCTAGACTATCTCATGTTTAAGGCAAGCGGACCAGGCAACTTTAAATTTGCTCCTTAGTGTATGTATAAGTAGCATTTCAAACTTGTACAGAACTTTCTTAATCTAGTGCTGTTCTCTTAATGCTAGATAAGAACTGCTAGCACTTTTCCAGAGATCAGATACCACATCTGCACATCCAATTTCTTACATCTGTGGGAAGTTCAATGGGTTATCAGAAATAAAGCAGTTGCTTATAGAGATGACTTCTCATAAGGTGAGAAAACAGCTTGAGATCTAGCTGTGATGATCTTAAGGTTGATGTACTGAACATCTTCCTAAACCTGGCAAGCAAGGACTGTTTTGTAGCAATGAATTGGGCAGCTGGCCAAATCTTTGAACAGGCTCGAGTTCAATAAACTCATGTCTGAACTTCTCAAATCTTCATCCTGGCATCTCTGCAAATGAATACTTTTAACAGCATTGAATCTTGCAAGGTATAGGCATATGAATTCTAAAGCATTAAACCCTAGATGTAAACACATCATAAAAAGCAGAAACAAGTGTTGTAAAAAGGCAAGTTTACATGTGCAGGTCTGTCTTCTGTCCTAATACTGTCAGGAGGAGGCTTCAGACTTAACTCAAAACAGGTATAAGTAACAATTTTATATCCTCAACCTTGTCTTTACAATGCTCAGGTTTATATCAACTGAGAGAGCACACGGGCTTCCTTGTTTAGCCTAGTCCTATAAAGTAATGGATGAAATACAGCTTGTACATAAGAAGGAGCTGGCAAGATGTTCTTCATATATGATACTGAACTAAAGCTGTTCAATCTTACTAGACTGAAATCCTAGCTTAACTTACCAAGGGAGTTCTAACTAAGCTGCGTGTAAGAAGGGTTTTGAGACTTAGGGGAGATAAGAGAGAGAAGGCTGTAATTGCCAGGTGAGAAACAATGTGCTTGAGAGATTTGAACAGTGATGGCTAAATTTTCTTTGAGAGAAGATTAGAGGCAGATTGTACCTGGAATGAAACAAACTGTTAACATTAAAGCCCACAAAATTTCTAAGTCTCCTGAATATCTGCGGTGAAGTTCAAGTTTGAGATGCTGTAACTATACAGGACAAACATGTTTAATTCAGTGTCCAGTGTATTGAACAGCTGTGTCCAAGGCAACAAGGAGGAAATGCAGAAGTGTACCTGCTTTAATCAACCTGGAGTTCAGGCAAGTTAATACAACTGATGATATAAATAGGAGCACAGTGTACGCCTGTCTGCACAGTGGTGAGGCTTTTAGAAAACTTGTGATCTTCATAAGCGTGTGACTCTGAAGGCACCTGCCTGACTTGAGGCAGTGGTGAGCAGAGGTTCCAATACACTCCCTACACACTGTGCTTGAGCACCTTATAAATGTTATTTGTGTCCTTGTCAGAAGCAGACTGGTCATGTCCTGTAAATTCCGTAGAACTACGAGAAAGCCAAACTAGAGATACTGAATCTCTTAAGGTGCTGAAAACCCAGCTGTCGCATCAAAATGTGTGCTTAATGGACTAATGGCTTCTGTTTATAGCTGAGTGGTCTTGAATAAGCTGCATTTGTCCATGGGAGAAAGCACTGTTTCTTGCAAAGTCTTTATTAGATTGAAGGAATTATTATTTTGGGGAACTCTGTCAAACTTCATGTAACCTTGCATCTTTCCCTTTGCTTCTACAGAGAGATATCCTTATGCATAGGTGGAGATATCCTTCCTTGTCTCTCCATGGAATTGAAGGAGCCTTCTCAGCCTCTGGAGCCAAGACTGTGATTCCAAGGAAAGTGATTGGCAAGTTCTCAATCAGACTTGTGCCAAACATGACTCCTGAAGAAGTCACAAAGCATGTATGTTGAGATGGATTGATAGTCTCGAAATAACTAGTGTCCCTAAACTTCTGTTCTCCATGCCTGGGGGAAGAGTATGTCTGGTTTCTAAAGCAGTTAGAGTTACTTTGCTACCATCTTCCCTGTTCTGCACCTCGACTTAAATAATTGAGGGAATTGCTGTATGGTCCCATGCTGGACTGTTGTGGCCTGACCATTCAATTTCTCTCAACTAACTACAAGAAAGGGCTCAGGAGTAAATGCTAATTTAATTGTAGGGCAGTTGTGTTGCCAGAAGTATGTATTCAAAAGCATGAGTTTGACCTATTGGCCAACTGTTCTACAGCACACTGTTAACTTGCCTAAAGGAGATAGTCTGCTTTGAAATCAGATACACGTAGGAATAATATGAAATAGTAATAGGAAAAGTATTGCTGCACAGTAGTAGTGACCTGCAAGTCCCTAAGATGCTTTTAGTATACAGTCTTTACCAATGTTCATATAAATGCTAACGTAGATAAGATTGTTCAATCTTTCTTACAGGTTGAAGACTACCTGAGCAAAAAGTTTGCAGAGCTGCAGAGCCCAAACAAATTCAGAGTATACTTGGGCCATGGTGGAAAACCCTGGGTGTCAGACTTCAACCATCCCCACTACATGGCTGGTAGGAGGGCCATGAAGACAGGTCAGTGGGTTTTCCACTTGGCATTGGGAGGACTAAAAAGCTCTTGTTCCAGCATCTCCAAGAAATAGTGAGGAGGTCATGTTTGCAGTGTTCTGCACTTATGTAGTAAGGAAGCATGTCATGTGTGATCCTTAAACTCAAGTCTGAGGTACAAGAAGGAAAGAAACTTGATTCCAAGTTCATTCCTACTATACTGGAACAAGTCCATTGGTATGGTGTTGCTTTTGCATAAAGATGGGAATGTCAGTAGTTCAGATCACTTGCTTAGCCAAAGCCCCCAAAGTTTAGTTGTCCTAGCATCCTTCTTAAACAGTTATGCTAGGGCAACTGATTGTGTAGGGCAAGCAGAGCAAATCTAACTTCTGTGTTGGGGTACAAACAGGCTTTCAGATGCAGTGTTATTTGTGTAACTGAACTCTAAAAGTGACAGTACTCCAGCACTACACTAAGGGGCAAATGCCACAATTCTGGAACCTCTGCAGTCTGGCTGATTAAAACAGAGCAGGATTTGGCCAGCACATGGTACAAAAGTGGTTGGTACTTGATTGCTTAAGCATCAGTAAGGAACTGTGTTAGAAAAACAAATGCAATTCCAAACTGACAAGATACCACCTTGTTCTAGTTTTTGGAGTTGAACCAGACCTGACGAGAGAGGGAGGAAGCATTCCTGTTACCCTTACTTTTCAAGAAGCAACAGGCAAGAATGTCATGCTGCTTCCTGTTGGAGCTGCAGATGATGGTGCCCACTCTCAAAATGAGAAGCTAAATAGGTAAGAGAATATTTATCCCTGTGCCAGGCTGAGTTGTACTGTGGGTCTTGGCATGTATTGTGAAAAGGACCAAGAAGAATTGATCTCTTGCTTTTCTGTAATGCTCTGGAAGGCAAAGTGCCATTTCACCTTGGCAGAGAACAACTAGTCTGTAGCTGAACCCTGATCTCATTACTGCTTCTGGTTTTACACACTTGAAACAGAAGCAGTTTTTATACTTTGGCCTCCAAGCTTGGCTACCCCCTACCCCAAGGGTGCCACTTCTCTCTTGCCAGGGGAGATGCAGGGAGGTTGGGAGTGGTGCCTGTTGCCTGTGACAGTAATGCCTGCAGTGTGTTGTGTGCATAGGACTGATACTGCAAAAAGCACAGCTGCTAGAAACACAGCTCAAACTAAGACAGTGCTAATGGAAGCTATCTTCTTTCTAGGTACAACTACATCCAGGGGGTGAAGATGCTTGGTGCATACCTCTATGAAGTCTCCCAGCTGAAGGACTAAGTTAGACACCTTACCTTCTGGCTTATGGATCAGAAGTCCGAATTTTCTTATAAAATGTCATCAATTACCAAATCTTACATAGCTTCCCTTTTCCACCAATACTCTACTGCTTTGGTGGGGGAGAGGGAAGCATGCAGTTCCACTGACAAAGAACAATGTATACCAAAAATATTTCTTTAAACACTTACTTCAAATGACACAGACTATTCCTTATCTGGCCAGCAGTCCTGAACTGCATCTTTGTCCCCTCTGTATCACTTCAAAGTTGTGGTTTGCTGTATTCATCTACTTCTCCTGTAAAGCAGGAAGAACAGTTTGCTCTCAACTGTTTAAGCAGCCACATCAGTTGCAGAACTGCCAGCCAAGTGTAAGGCTGTTATTCCTGGATATATCCTGGAAGTAGTCAAAGTGACAGATTACAGGGCTGTACTGGAATGTGCTCAAGCTGTAGTGAGGCATCTCTCTTGCTAACCGAGTGATTTGGAAGAGCAGTTTGTCTCTTAAGGTTTATACCTGCCTGCAGGTTTCAATTAAGAGTGGATCAGGTTATAACAATTCACTGTGCTAATGACTACTGGCCAGAATCTTTTTCTGAAGCTGCCTTTGTATTCTCTAAAAAGGACAATAAATAATCATGCTCTAGAGTTTGGCTCTTGGTCTCTAAGGATTAAATAATGACTTGGGAGGGAAATCAACTTCAGGTAACCTGGGAGGAACTCCTCTATGGCTATAGAGGCAGATGAGCAACATGGCTACACAGACTGTACTTCCTGGGAATCCAAACTTTTATTCCTTAGGCTCTGGCTCCATAACAGCTTGCCTTGAAGCAGATGTTGCTAAATCCTGCTTTCCCAAGGGAAAACAAGCTCAGAAAATGTTCCATTTTTGGCTCTGTGAGCCAGGTCATCACACTGTAGCACAACTGATGATGCTGCATGGGAGTGGGTGGTATTTGTAGGCATAAGTGGGGGGAGAAGAGCATCACTCATTGCAACTACTGACTGACATCCAACTTCAAGCTGGTTTTTGGAAACATTGGACACCAACACTTCTGGTATTGTATAAAAAAATCCAAACCCTCCTAAATGTGTGCTAGTCTGAACTGGATTTGGCTCACTGTTTCTGAATTCCCTGACCAGCACTAGCAGGCTAAGCTAGGTCAAGTATTTCAACCTCTGAGAACTGCCTGGGAGTGTGGTGTGGTCCTGTAGCCTGACAAACAGGCGAGCAGCATGTGGTGCTCCCTCCCTTGGAGGGCAGAAGGTGGGAATGTCTTGTCTGTCTGGTTTTTGCTATTGCTTGATCTGGGGTCTTAATTGTCGATGACTGTTGGGGCAGGGAGGAGTTGTCTGTTCTTGCTGTGAAGCTTCTAAACCTTCTCTGCCTTGTTTCTTTTGTTCTGTTTGGTTTGTCATGGAAGCTGATGGCTGGGGGTGAGCTGGTACCATCAAACTTTGCACTTGCAGCTGGGGTACAGGTGGAGACCTGTGTCCTGTGCCTGTGTCAGTACTTGCTAGCACCTAGTGTCTGTACAGACACCGGGTAGTGGGCTGCTAGGTTCTCACCTTTCAGTGACAGTGGAACTACTCTGATACAGCCTGTATGTAGGGCGAGACTGGCATGCCTGGATCTTTGAAAGTAATCTGTATGTGAAGATCAATTAGCTATACAGGATAACTAGTCCTAGCAAGTCAGTGTGTTTAAAGCAGCTTCCTCAGTTACTGAATCAACACCTCTGGCTTCTCTAAATGGGGTAACTTACATGAAAAGTCAATTCCCTGGCTGTTGGTGAGTTTGTATTGCTTATTTTCTACCTATCAATTTGAAAAGCATAAAAACATAAAAAATCCAGTCCCTGGACTGAGTTAGTACTAGCTTTTCACAACGTGAAGAAAAAGCTTATCTGGGCAGGAGAAAAGCTGATAATGTCATGAACCATGTTCAGAAAGTGAGCATGTCTGTAGTTGTCCTGTTTCATTTGTAACTATTTCCTTGAGAATCAATCATCTCAAGTTCTGCATGGAAGACCCTGGATCACATCCTACACTCCCTGAATGAGGACAGCATGGCAGAGTTGTGGAGGATGCCCAAAACAGAAGGAAATGTGTTGAGGGGTTTGTAGAAGAGGCTGCGAAGCAGATCCTGTTGGGTAGACAGCAGAAGTATTTTGGCATGGGGCGAGTGCCAGAACCCTGTGAAAAGGAGATTAAAATGGGACTTTGGCCTGAGCAAAATGCAGGGGCCTACTTAAGCATGCAGGAGTAAATTGCTGAAGTAATGGGCCCTGAGAGACTTAACAGGGTTCCAGATTTGTTTAGATGTTTAAAATTAAAGTCGGAAGTTATCAGTATTTATTACCTTGCTACAGAAGAGCTTGCTTTCACTGTAACCTCTCTAGTCCCTGCCTAAGGTGACCACAAAAGCAGTAGTGCTCGGCCTGAATGAACAACGCAGGCAGGACGAGTGGTGTCAGCTCATTCCTGTAGCCTGCCTGCTCAGACCTGACTCCTTGAAGACTTCTAGAAAATGAGTATCTGTTGCTGGAGATCAGGTTTGCTACATCTTGGAATGCTTGTGCATCACCTGAAGCATTTGCTTAGCCCAAGTTATTTGAATAACAGCACTGTTGCACAGTAAAGAAGTGTGTAAAGTGCGAGCTAAACAGGAAAACCAAAATGTATTGGTGAAGCACAGAACTTCACAGCTCCATCTGCTGGGTGTACAAAGGCTGCTTGGTGTTTTCCATGCAGAACCTTCATAGCACTGTTTCTTACCTGTTATGGTTTTCTGTAAGGTTTAGCCAGCTCCAGTTTAATATGTTAACATGAAAGCTTGTATAATTAATATCCCTTAATTAATGCTCATTAGAAGATTCTGAAGTGAAAGGACTTAACTGCCAGATCAATCTCGGGTTAGGGGGAAGTACCGCCAGGAGGAGGGCAAGACTGCAGATATTTTGGATGGCCGTGGTTAGCCTTTTACTGTTATAGGTAACTCCTATGTAATGGTAAGCACTGGAAAAATGTTCTGGCTGGTCTTTTAGTTTCTTCCTCGTGGTCTTTGCCTGCAGTCCCTGTAGTCTGTCAGGGCTGGAGTTATGCCTGGAACAGCTTTACAAATGTGAGCAGCTACAATCTCCAGTTTTCCTGAATAGAGATGTGCCAGCTCTATTTACAAGCAAGCATGAGCAAGGGCTATCAAAAGGAACATGGTTACGAACTTCTTTAACCTGGTAAGTGTCTGAATCTTGGCTGGGCCTTGGGGTACCAACGCATGCCTGCTTAGCTTAGGCTAATTTACTGCTTAGACTAATACGTCAAGATGTTCTTCTCTTTTACTTGTCTACCACTTGCTTCTTGAGGGGTAAACCAGGTAGGAGCCTAGATTACTGCCAGTTGACTCAAATGGTATGTGACTGTAAATTGGTGAGGGTTTTGGATTCTTTTGCAAGCTTCTGCTTAGTGAAGTTATATCAAAGTATGCTAAATTCCTTCAAATACTAAAGTAAAAGTAGTTGGATCACCTTTGTGCCTTCTCTGTGCCCCCAACCCCAAGATAATTTTGCTTTTCTTGTCCAGATTCCCTTGCAGTCAAACTTGATGCAACTGCCCAGCTCTGCTTTATTTGAAAACTGAAGTTTTAATAAAGATGGTGAGAAGGTTTGTATATCATCACTTAACTATTTTTTTCCCTTGCTTAAGTAACTTCAGTCAGCAGCAGTCATTTCCTGGAAGCATTCTGGGGACCTGGGAGGATTACTTGCAGAAAGATTGGTGACTGCATAAATAGACAGCTGAGAAAAAAACCCCAGGAATTATCTGTATGCTGCTGTTGTGGTTTAACCTGGCAGGCAGCTGAACACCACACAGCTGCTTGCTCACTGCCCCCAGCCCCAGTGAGATGGGGGAGAGAATCGGAAAAAAGTAAAACCCGTGGGTTGAGATAAAGACAGTTTAATAAAACATCAGAGGAAAAGAATAATAATGATAAGAGAATATGGAAAGCAAGTGATGCACAATGCAATTTCTCACCACCCACTGACCGATGCCCATCCCATCCCTGAGCAGTGGTCATTGCCCCCCGGCCAGCTCCCTCATTTTATATGCTGAGCATGATGTCGTATGGTCTGGAATAGCCCTTTGGCCAGGTGGGGGCAGCAGCCCTGGCTGTGCCCCCTCCCAGCTTCTTGTGCCCCTGGCAGGGCATGGGAAGCTGAAAAGTCCTTGACCGGTGTAAGCACTACTCAGTAACAACTAAGCCATCAGTGTGTTATCAACATTCTTCTCGTACTAAATCCAAAACACAGCACTATGCCAGCTGCTAGGAAGAAAACTTGCTTAAGTAACTTCAGTCAGCAGCAGTCATTTCCTGGAAGCATTCTGGGGACCTGGGAGGATTACTTGCAGAAAGATTGGTGACTGCATAAATAGACAGCTGAGAAAAAAACCCCAGGAATTATCTGTATGCTGCTGTTGTGGTTTAACCTGGCAGGCAGCTGAACACCACACAGCTGCTTGCTCACTGCCCCCAGCCCCAGTGAGATGGGGGAGAGAATCGGAAAAAAGTAAAACCCGTGGGTTGAGATAAAGACAGTTTAATAAAACATCAGAGGAAAAGAATAATAATGATAAGAGAATATGGAAAGCAAGTGATGCACAATGCAATTTCTCACCACCCACTGACCGATGCCCATCCCATCCCTGAGCAGTGGTCATTGCCCCCCGGCCAGCTCCCTCATTTTATATGCTGAGCATGATGTCGTATGGTCTGGAATAGCCCTTTGGCCAGGTGGGGTCAGCAGCCCTGGCTGTGCCCCCTCCCAGCTTCTTGTGCCCCTGGCAGGGCATGGGAAGCTGAAAAGTCCTTGACCGGTGTAAGCACTACTCAGTAACAACTAAGCCATCAGTGTGTTATCAACATTCTTCTCGTACTAAATCCAAAACACAGCACTATGCCAGCTGCTAGGAAGAAAATTAACTCTGTCCCAGCTGAAACCAGGACAGCCACAAATGCAAACCACCTTCTTCTCTCCTGTTTCCTAATGTGGAACAATAGCTTGATTCCTGATAGGAAACCGGGAAATCTCAATCAGGGGCATGCTGCTGCTTGCAAGTCTAGATGGTTTGTATTTCCAGTTCTCCCACTCCAAGAATGGAGGAAAATCTACAAAATGCATTTTGCCATCGCTTGTCCATAGGGTGAAACTGCTGCAAATTTGAGAATGCAGGCTTCTGGCTTGTAATGCCTCACTGCTCACTAGATTTCTTGTGTTTTAGCAAAATCCATGATAGTGCATCTTGATATGGAATATGCACTTAAAAGAGCAGCTGGAGTTATTACAAGCTATTATCCCTAAACGAATAAGTCCTAACTGCCTTTTAAAATGTCACTTTTCTTTATTTTTGCTGTACTGGGAAACAACAGCATACACATTAAAAACACAGCCCTGATTTTCAACTCTGTGGCAATCCATTTTAGGCTTATCAAGCACCATGTTTCCTAATTTGAAACTGTTTCCAATTTGCAAAACAGACTTTGGTTTAGCATAATGAGTTTGGATGTACTAACTAACCCAAAACTTATTTTTCCATAAGGTTGCATGATGGACTGTCTTAACTGCAAGAACTTCAGCGTTGTGATCTTG